ACGTTCACACATGCGGCGCGCATGCGTACTAACGTCTGCGCGATGCGCCAGCTGCGCCTGGAGGATCGTGCAGGGACATGCGTGGAAAGCGCGAAATTCAAAAAAAACGGGTAAGGAGCGGGCGCAGGTGTGCGGGCGCGCGCGGGCGCGGGGGGGCTTCGCCGTTCCCGGAAGTTACTTACTTCCGGGTTCGGCGACCAACCGGATCGCAGGGACCGGTGCGAACCGGTTGAAACCCAGCCCTGAGTGGAATCTTCTCCAATATTTCTCCAACAAGTTCTCCAACATTTCTGGTAAAACCCAAATAAGTTTGGGGAGGGGAGTCTTCAGGGACTCCCCAAATGGTATCTACTTTGCAAGTCTATAAACTCCCTGCATTTATATGGTCTTCCTTTTAAAAAAAGAGACCAATGATATCTAAAAGAAAGTGTTGAAACATACCTGAATTTTGCCTTTAGCTAAAACTCTGCAAGGCAAATCAGAACATATCATACAAAAAGTAATCACCTTATACACCACAAGACCCAATCATATGGACCAACACTGAGAAGGAATAGGGAGCTCTTGCTTGCTCACTCTCTTTTTAATACATGTTTTACTCATCCAAAATATTTAAAAGCCGACAGGAAGAAACACATAGGAGGGAGAGCAGGACAGAAGAAACAATAATACTATTTTTGGGATGAAAGAAAGATGAAATGTGGTGTTAGGGTTGTGCCATAAATAATTTTAGAGGGGTGGGTGAAAGAATGAGGGCAAAAGCCCTATGAGGCGCCAACGTATGAAAATGAGTAGCAATTCATTGAGAAGCAAAAGATGTTGGTGCTTTTTGGTTTATTGGTGCAAGAGACAGAAGACACTGGCACCTGAAATTAGGAGGAGATGCAAAAAGCTGCCGAAAGTCTAACGGAAGTGGGAAAAATTCCTGATACAAAGATAACAACTTTGTGAAAGAACTTGTAAGTCAGAAAAAAACAAAGCTGAGGAAAACAGGCTCATTTTATGTATTAGCTCCTCAAATAAATGCTTCCCAAGGTAGTTTACTTGAAAGAATGAAAACAGCTAAAAAATGGTGACTAAGCAGAATGAAGTAATACAGTCAGGAACATGAAAAAAGTGCTGTAGGGCAAGAATAACACCAATCCTAGTTCACACTTTTGTTTCTCAAAATTGCAAACCAAATGCCTCAGGTGTGCTCAGAAGTAGAAGATGCAGGAAAGTTTTTCATCTCATTTCCCCCCTGCAATTGGTATTTGGAGGCACACAGACCCCAATCCAGAAATAACACTAAACTTCAAGACAAATGTGCTTTGGAAAACCCATCCTCCATACATTTATCTAATCCCTTTTAAAGCCATTCTAGTGATCCAGGAGAATGAATTCCACAGTGGATGGCAATGTGGGAAGAGTAAAGAAACAGGACCGAACAGCCAATTGTATGAGACATGGGAAGATTTTGTAAAAAAAAGAAATCTAAAAAAATATTAGCCGATACACAGACCTCTCTTACTCTTTAAAATGAACAGCATTCATAATAAATGATAAAAATCATTCCCTTAAATTACAAAGAAATGTCCAAAAGGAAGGCTGCAAGACACAAATCATCATCCCCTATGCTGCACAGAATCTTAGAAGCTGATATAGCTGGCGTTATAAATAAACCAATGATTTAATCCAAAATTCTAACAAACAGTACAATAAATTCTCAAAAATTCTCAAATCTCAGGAGAACACTGCATCTTATAAACTTCCATGTCTCAAAAACGTGTGAGATGCTGGCCTCTGAAATTAGGAGGAAGAATTATGCAAAATGTCACAATTTTACCAGTTTTTTAAAAACATTTAAATGCATTTTTGTAAAACAGCTAAAAGCCTATTTAATTGACAAATAGATTATTCAACATTATTTTACATTTACCGTATTTTTCCCTCAAAAAAGAGGCTGAAAATCTGGGTGCATCTTATACACCGAATACAGCATTTTTGGCCTTCTGAAACCCCACCCCTTTGCAAAAATGATCATGCATAGCCTTTAGGAGACTTCCAGGGTGCTCCTGGGGGCTGGAGAGGGTAAAAATGTGCAAAAATGGGCCTTTCTGCCCCACAAGCTGCCCAGGATCACTCTATAAGCCTCCTAAAGGCTATGCATGCCCTTTTTTTTTGACAAAAAAACAGACCCATTTTTGTGCAAAACCTTTTTTTTTTAAATTTGCCTCTTCAAAGTCTTGGCGTGTGTATACTCTGGCGCGTCTTATACTCCAAAAATATGGTAGTTTTGGATCCTATGGATACTACTGGGGAGGTCTTATGTGCCATAGATCCTACAGATATCATATTGCTGTCTTTCCTTTTATCTGACAATCAGCAGAAACCTCTAATGACAATGATGATGATGCAGTAATCCATGTAAACCACTAGAATAGAATAGAACCACTGGAATGTATTTTAATGTACATCCCTATTTTCAACAAAAAGCATCTGCACAAAGTATACTTACTTCCAAAGTCTGCATGAGATTGGGCTTAATAGCATCTTTCATCAAAACTGCCAGGGCACCGCTCACTCCCTAAGGAAATAAGTAGGAAAAATATTTAAGTAGCAGTTCTTGCCCATTTTTTAGGTTTATGGCATTTCAAGCTAATAAACCTACTTTTTATAATCATGACGAGCCATTTTCTCAGTTTTTGTTGCCTAAAAGTAGGTCATGAAAGGCAAATTCAGCTGGTCGTGTTTAAGCTTTACTTAGAATCCAGTTTGTTCCATGCTTTCAAACTCTATTGCCAGAAATTTGGGGAAATGTCTCAATTTTCAAGATCAATATTAAAAATTATTTACTAGATACACATTTAGAAATCCCGAATCAGACAAAGACCACTGAACGTAGCTTTTTAGGAATCCTGGCCATCAACATACACTGCTTGATATGACTGAAGCTGTCTACTTCTGTCATAGTTAAAGCACATATAATCTCAGAAATGAGCGAACTGTGTCTTCCAGAGTTGCATTTTCTTCCAAAGAGAATCATGTTCAGTTACCAGATCTTCTGTGGTGATTGGAACTCCTTTCTTGCTGGAGGCAACCACCATTTTCCCCAGGCGTTCTCTCATATCCTCCAGGCCGTTTGTGAGTGCTAAAACTGCCATGATCTCACTAGCTACTGCAATGTCAAAATGGGCCTGCAAGGAAGAAAAAAAGCAAGCAAGATCAGAAATAGACATAACCGAACACGACTGGAGTATTTGATTTAAAAAGACATAGATAAGACAGAATGCCCATAATTATGGAGTCACAATAATCTAGAAACAGAATCAGGTCTAAGCATCTGTGGTAGCCTTTTCCAAATTTGGTGCTGTCTGGCTGTTCAAAAGTACACTTCCCAGATCTCCTAATTAGCAGTTGTTACATGCTGACAATCAGTACAGTAGTTTCCACCAAGGTCCTCTGTTCTGGCGGGAACAGTATTGAAATCTGATTGGTTGAAGGGTCTGACAGCTCCCTATAAAAGGGCTGCTTCCAGACAGAGTCTTTGCTGGATTGTACATAGTTGTCACTTAATAAAGAGCTGTTGTTACTGAAGCCTGAGTCTGCCTCATCCATTCACCCGATTTAACAGCAGTCATTGATCATTTGAACAGCACCAGGTGGATGGTAGCCTTTTTAGCAATGTCAGGTTAGGGCATTTTAAGAATGCTGTCATTCTGTACACAAAAGAGGGCTAAAACTCAAAGAGAATTTCTCAAATATGCCAAGTTTCTTCCCACAATCGCTCTCATTAGTAGTAGCAGCCCTCAAAACGGAGGCAATATGGGCATGGGTACATCCAGAAAACAGAGAAAGATGCACAAACTCTTAGCTCAAAATCAGCCCTCAGTTGGGATAAAAATGCCCGCTATTCTAAAAGAATCTGAGCGAAAGGACACTTACTGTGCGTGTGTATCCCTTCTCAGATGGAGACTGCCCAATTGTAATGGTTCGCAGAAACCTGTCGTTTGTATCCAGTACTACATAAAAGAAGGTGGGAAGACAAAGGGTGAACATGGGGAATTTAGCAACATTTTATACATGTACATTTAAAACTATTAATTCCATCCAAGTTATCTCACAAAGGTAAGTCATTAGAATAAAGGCTATGAGAAATAAATTGCTAACATTGCAACCCACAAGATTGTAATTTTTAAAACCTCTTTATTATATAGATGTATGGCCATTTCTCCAAAGGTTTAAGGTGACTTCCCTTGGTTCCACCACAAAACCACGTTCGACTAAAGGGCGCTCGACGAAACCGTGTAGCTGACGTCATCACAGCGCGACAACAGCGCAGAGAAAAAAGCACGCTGTAAACGCTAAACCTAAAATTANAACCCTGAGCCGGTGAGATTTGAACCGCTGACCTGCTGATCTAGCAGTAGCCTGCAGTGCTGCATTTAACCACTGCGCCACCTTGGCTCATAAAGCATATTACCATTCTCAGTCACCATAGATAAAGCCAACAGAAACACTCTTAACAGTATTTCCACAGTGGGCCAATGTGACAAGGCAAAGTATTCTCCAACCAGTCATATATCGTGGAGCAGAAATTAATCTTCCCTGATTCTCTTTTGTGGAAGAAACAGACTGTTGTCTTTTGCTTCTCTAATGAATTTGAGGTAAATTCTCTAAGTCCTGAACAGATCCAGCTTGGACCAGATATCTTCCCTGGGCTGATCTGTGACTAGGAAATAGTTGAGAAATTGTGCTAAATGAAACTAGTCTTAGAACAATCTTGATTTGGTAGAAAATATATAGATCCTTTCTGAGATCAAACCTAGTTCCCAAACATCATATAAAAAGCTAGGATTACTAAAAGGCTGTTTTCAAGATAAGAATAATGAATAGTAATGAAAATTTGTCTAATGGGCTTGAAGGAGTTAGTTATTAAAGTCCTAAGTGCTAATGACAAGTCCCATGCAGGGAAACAGTAAATTGCTAGATCTGAGAGAAAGTTTTCCAAAGGAAATAATGCCACTTGTCTTATTCAGTTGAATGGAAAATAAGGAAGTTGTCTGTTTATCTGTCATATTTACTGCTAGCCCTCTCTTCAGTCTTGCTTGTTGGAAGTCCGAAAGTTCAGGGATCCCTATTGTTGGTGTCACACATTTCTCTCTTTCCTTCAAACTGACTCATCTATCTTAATGTGGCAGCTCACCCTGGATCCAAGTTGATCTCTACTGCTAAATCTGGAATATCCATATTCAGGAGTTGCCCAGTGCAAATTCTAGGCCTATACTGATAACAACCCTGGACTGGTATGTACTGAACTTCAAGACAGGAGGATCAGGTCTTTTAGGAACTGGGAGTTGCTCTTTCATATCACTTGGACAGCAGAACAGTGTCCTTCTTGGTGTATTCTGCTGACATAAACAGAAGGCTATAGTCTCTGAAGGCCATTCAGTCTGTTCTAATAATTTAAATAGATTATGTTGTAATGCCATCTCTTTGCCGATGTTAGTGAGCTCTCTTGTAGGAGGTGAGCAGACTGAGCTGAAGGGTGGGGTTAAATGTGCTATTTGTTTAGAATAGTAGCACAAGACACCCAAGTCCAGCCCACTGAATTCTGCTGACCTTCATCTAGCACCAATTTAGCTTGGGTGTTAGTTGCTCAGATTCTTTGTTATAGGTGGCAGAATCAACTCTTAATGCTCTGAACTCAAATACTGTTCCTGGTTATTTGCGCATGACGCCCTACTCTTTTAGCCTGGTGTCTGTGGCCATCTGGTCTCTGAAACTGATTGCTAATCTGCCACATAGAAGAGAAAGAAATCTTTTCTTGTAGGCTTCATTTCTAGTGACTGAGAATAAAGAGCAAAGCAAAACACCAGCTGCAGCCTTACTATTATTTATAGGAATGCATTTGGTCTGCAAAAGGTCCCACTGGGACAGTAGAGAGCATCCTAGGAGGTTAATTTGCTTCTGGTAAGTGAGTGTTTTGTGATTGTGGCAGCCATTTTGTGAATAGACAAATCTCCCATGACAACAATTTTCTAAGCAAATCTACCATAGGACCCCAAAATTTAGCATTCATTATATGAAATTTTTCTCTTCTTGCTATGGGCTAGAAAAAACATGTCACTTTCTGCTTCCCTTAAAAATAGTGTGTAGTACAGTATCTTCTGAACTGGGAATCATGATATAGAACAGTTATTCCGGTCAAATTCAAAAAATGCTTATTTCATCCAACCATCGCTAGTATTAAACACAAGTTCTCTTTTATGCATGAAACAAGCCACGCTCTAAAAGCAGCAAGCAACTCTGAAGTTCTATCCTGTCTGGAGAAGAGCATGAAAGCATCACCTTGAGGAACCACAAGGCACCAAGTTTCATTATGATTCCTTTCTGTTTCTGTACATTCTGCTAGGTAGCTTTTTGACCCTAAAAATGCAATTTACTCCAGGTGTTAGGCTATAGAAATTAGAAAATCCTATGTACATAGTCTTCCCCATCACAACACTAGAAGACCTCCGTCTTCTATTGTATCCCCTGTCATATCACAATATGCTCCCCTGCTGCAATTTAATCTGCCTGTTTGGCAGGCTCCAGGAATACAAAGAGGATGGAAAAAATGGGGATCAAAATATGCATTATGCATTGCCATTATCAGAATGCACTGGTGAAAGCTGTTTTTTAATTTTATACATACACACACTCACATGACAAATAACCAGTGAGAAGAAAAAAGGTGAAAATATGAGGTTTAAGAAATTACTGAAATGATCTGGGAGCACTATCACTAGCAAGCAATGATTATTACCTCTGATCTTCCAAAATAACTGAAGTTCTCTGGGTTGAAGACAGCATTATTAAACCATTAGACATTTTTAAAGCCACTACAAAAAGATAACCAATAGGACAACCACATAGCACAGAAAACATAAAATGAAATATTCTAGTCTAGAACTGGGTTAAAATTCCAATTAAATGCAGAATTATAACATCTGGAAAAGACAATTTTTCCCTAGCACAAATCCGGGCACCAGAAATCTAGGCATCATTGGAGAAGGCATTTCAAAGGAGAGCCCTAAAACTGAGATTTTTTTTCTCCAACTCCAGCTACTTCATTTGATAGGGATACTTGGCTGTGCCTTCAAAGGGTCTCTGAAGATGACTGCATTGGCCCACTCAGGTTATCAAGTAACAGGGCAATATGCCAAGAAATCTGGCAGTTATTATCTTCATCTATCAAAGAAATAATGGGGAGTAAATCTTTCAAGGTTGCTGATGGCAAATCTAGCCAATAGAATTTGGTACTATTAGTTGAGCCCAGCATCAATCATGACATCCTGAATTCCCTAAGATGAGGATCAGCACATACCGTCGGTCCTCCACCATGCATTTTCAGAGCTCGGATGGTGGCAACCAAGACTACCACATGAGGCTGCAAACCGGAATACCGACACTTGATGTCGAAGAATTTTTCCATGCCAATATCAGCGCCGAAGCCAGCTTCAGTCACTGCATGCAGAATAATGAAATTCATTATTATGTACAATCTGCTTTCTTTTTTTGCATTGCATTATTCTTATAAATTACATTCTGGAATTGCTTAAATGATTAAGATGACATGACTGGAGGTTTATAATTTAAAAATGAAGAGTAGCAGCAGATTAGCAAAATGCTCAGAGAAGCAAAGAAAGACTAGGACAGTGTTTCTCAACCTTGGCAACTTGAAGATGCTGGCTGGGGAATTCTGGGAGTTGAAGTCCGGACAT